GGCAGACACCAGCTTACTGTGGGTATGTATATAGAGAGGAGATACAGGTCACTGTGTGGTACTGTATATTAGAGAGGCAGACACAGCCTTACTGTGTGTATGTATATAGAGAGGAGACACAGCTTACTGTGTGTGTGTATGTATATAGAGAGGAGACACAGCTTACTGTGTGTATGTATATAGAGAGGAGACACAGCTTACTGTGTGTACTGCTATATAGAGAGGCCCAGACACAGCTTTACTGTGTGTATGTAATATAGAGAGGAGACACAGCTATAACTGGTTGTATGTATATTAGAGAGGAGACACAGCTTACTGTGTGTATGTATATAGAGAGGAGACACAGCTTACTGTGTGTATGTATATAGAGAGGAGACACAGCTTACTGTGTGTATGTATATAGAGAGGAGACACAGCTTACTGTGTGTGTGTATATAGAGAGGTCAGACACAGCTTACTGTATGCTAATGTATATAGAGAGGGCAGACACATGCTTACTGTGTGTATGCTATATTAGAGAGGCAGACACAGCTTAACTGTGCCTGTGTGTATATAGCAGAGGAGACACAGCTACTGTGAGGGTGTGTATGTATATAGCAGAGGAGACACAGCTTACTGTGTGTGTGCTATGATATATAGAGACGTGACACAGCTTACTGCTGTGTATGTATATTAGCAGAGCGAGACACAGCCTTACTGCTGTGTGTGTATGTATTATAGAGAAAAGGTGACACAGCTTACTGTGTCTATGTAATATGATGAGAGCCGAGACACAGCTTACTGTGTGCATGTACTATAGAGAGAGACACAGCTTACCTGTGTGTATCTATATAGAGAGGAGACAACAGCTCACTCGTGTGTATGCTATATAGAGAGGCAGACGCACAGCTCACTGTGTGTATCTATATAGAGTCAGAAGACACAGCTTACTGCTGTGTATGTATAATAGAGAGGCGTACACAGCTTTACTTGTGTGCTATGTATTATAGAGAGGAGACACAGCTTACTGTGTGTATGTATATAGAAGGCAGACCACAGCTTACTGTGTGTGTGGATATAGAGAGGCAGATAAGCTCACTGTCCTGTTATGTATATAGAGCATTGCAGGACAAGCTTACTGTGTGTGTGTATATTAGGAGAGCGCAGACACAGCTTACTGTGTTGTGTGTATATAGAGAGGAGACCCACAGCTTACTGTATGTATGTATATAGAGAGGCAGACACAGCTTACTGTGTGTATGTATATAGAGAGGAGGACCCACAGCTTACCCTGTGCTGGTGTGTACTATGTATATAGAGAGGAGACACAGCTTACTGTGATGCATGTATATAGAGAGGAGACACAGCTTACTGTGCTTGTATGTATATAGCTAGAGCGAGATACAGCTTTACTGTGTGTGTGTATTGTATATAGAAGAGGTCGACACAGCTTACTGTGTGTATGTATATAGAGAGGAGACACAGCTTACTGTGTGTATGTATATAGAGAGGAGACACAGCTTACTGTGTGTGTGTATGTATATAGAGAGGAGATACAGCTTACTGTGTGTATGTTATATACTATAGAGCAGGCAGACACAGCTTACTGGTTGTGTCGTGCTGTATATAGCAGAGGAGACAAGCTTACTGCTGTGTGTGTTATGTATATAAGAGAGGAGACCACAGCTCACTGTGTGTATGTATATAGAGAGGAGGACACAGCCTCACTGTGTGTATGTTTTATAATATAGAGAGGGAGACACAGCTTACTGTCGGTATGTAATAGAGCAGGAGGGCAGACACAGCCTTACTGTCGGTTGTGTGTATTTATAGAGGCAGGAGACACAGCCTTACTGTGTGTACTGTTATAGAGAGGAGACACAGCTTACTGTGTGTATGTATTGTATATAGAGCAGCGAGACACAGCTATGTATGTATGTATATAGAGAGGCAGACACAGCTGTACCGGAGCGTGCAATGTATCTATATAGAGAGCGAGACACAGCTTACTTGTATGTATGTATATAGAGAGGAGTTACAGCTCACCTGTGTGTATGTATATAGAGAGATTACACAGCTTACTGCGGTGCATGTATATAGAGATGCAGAGCACAGCTTACTGATGCGTAATTATATAGAGAGGAGAACAGCTCTACTGTATGTTATGTATGGTATATAGAGAGGAGATTTACAGCTTACTGTTGTGTATGTATATAGAGGAGGAGTACAGCTTACTGATGTGTATGTATATAGAGAGGAGACACAGGCTTTTACTTGCTTGTTGGTTTTTATGTATATTAGAGAGGCTGTGACACAGCTTTACTGTGTGTTGTGTTATTAAGAGAGGTGACACAGCGTTACTGTGTCTCGTATGCTATATGAGAGAAAGCACACAGCTCACTGTGTGTATGTATGTATATAGAGAGCGGAGACACAGCTTACTGTGTGTTGTATGTAATAGAGAGGAGACACAGCTTACTGTGTGTGTGTATGTATATAGAGAGGAGACACAGCTTACTGTGTGTATGTATATAGAGAGGAGACACAGCTTACTGTGACTAGTGTGTGTGCTTATATAAGAGAGGGAGATACAGCTTACTGTGTGTATGTAATATAGCAGAGCGAGATACAGCTACGTGTGTGCTATTTATTCATAGAGAGGAGATACAGTCTTACTGTGTGTTGCTGTATGTACTATCAGAGAGGAGATACAGCGTTACTGTGGTGTGTGTATTATAGAGAGGAGACACAGCCTTACTGTGCTGTATCTATATAGAGAGGAGACACAGCTTTACTGTGTGTATGTATGTATAAGAGAGGAGACACAGCTTACTGTGTGTGTATGTTATATAGGAGAGGAGATAACAGCTTACTGTGTGTATCTATATAGAGAGGCTGACACAGCTTACTGTGTGTATGCTATATAGAGCGAGACACAGCCTTACTGTGTGTTATGTATATAGAGAGGTGACACAGCTTACTGTGTTGTGTGTATATAGAGGTAGGAGACACAGCCTTACTGTGTGTATGTATATAGAGAGGAGACACAGCTTACTGTGTGTATGTATATAGAGAGGAGATACAGCTTACTGTGTGTATTCTATATAGAGCCAGCGAGACACAGCTTACTGTGGTTATGTATGTATATAGCAGAGGAGAACACACAGCTTACTGTGTGTACTGTATTATAGCAGAGGAGATACCAGCTACTGTGTGTATCTATATAGACGATGCGGAGACACAGCTTAACTGCTGTGTATGTATATAGAGAGCGAGAGCACAGCTTACTGTATGGCTATGTATATAGCAAGCAGGAGGACACAGCTTACTGGCTGTATGTACTATAGAGAGGAGACACAGCTTTACTGTGTGTATCTATATAGAGAGGAGACCACAGCTTACTGTGTGTGTGTACTGTATATATGAGAAGAGGAGACACAGCTTACTGCTGTGTATGCTATATAGGAGAGCGAGCACACAGCTTTACCGCGTGTGTATGTATATAGAGATGGAGACACAGTTACTGATCTGCTATGTATATAGAGAGGGAGACACAGCTCACTGTGTGTATGTATGTATATAAGAGCAGGAGACACAGCTTTACTGCTGTGTGTGTATTATAGCACGAGGAGACACAGCTACTGTGTTGTGTGTATCGTATAATAGAGAGGAGGACACAGCTTACTGTGTGTGTGTATATACGAGAGGAGACACAGCTACTGTGTTGTGTGTATGTATATAGAGAGGAGCACACAGCTTACCTGATGTAGTATGTATATAGAGGAGGAGACACAGCTTACTGTGTGTTTATGTATTACTAGAGAGGAGACACAGCTTACTGTGTGTGTGTAATGTATACTAGAGCAGGAGACACAGCTTACTGCTGTAGTATGTATATAGAGCAGGAGACACAGCCTTACTGAATGCCCCTGTGTGTGTATATAGCAGAGGAGAACACAGCTTTACTGTGTGTGCTGTATGTATATAGAGAGGAAGACAACAGCTCTACTGTGTGTGTGTATGTAATATAGAGAGCCGAGACCAGCTTACTGTGTGCTGTGTATGTATATAGAGACGCGAGACACAGCTTATAGTGTGTGTGTATGCGTTATAGCAGCAGGCAAGACACAGCTTTACTGTGTAGTGTGGTATAATAGAGAGGAGACAACAGTTACTGTGCTGTGTGTATGGTATATTAGAGCAGGAGGACACAGTTTACTGTGTGTGTGCTATGGTATATAGAGAGGAGGACACAGCTCAACTGGTGTATGTATACTAGCAGAGGCAGACACAGCTTTTACTGTGTGTATGTATATAGAGAGGAGCACACAGCTCACTGCTGTGTTGTATATAGAGAGCGAGACACAGCTTTACTGTGGTGTGTGTATGTATATAGAGAGGAGACCACAGCCTTAAACTTTTTTGGTGCGTGTGTGTATGCTATATAGCAGAGGAACACCAGGCTTACTGGTGTGTATCGTTATAGAGACGCGAGACACAGTCTTACTGGGGACCTGTGTATGTATATAGAGAGGCAGACCACAGCTCACTGTGTGTATGTAATAGAGAGGCAGCACACAGTTTACTGTGCGGTGTGTAATTAGCAGAGGAGACACAGGCTTACTGTGATGTATGTATATAGAGAGGAGACACAGAATTACTTGGTGTGATGTATCATAGAGAGGAGATACAGCTTTACTGGTGTAGTATGTATATAGAGAGAGATTACAGCTTACTGTGTAGTGTGTATGTATATAGGACGAGCGCAGACATCAGCTTACTTGTGTGTGTGTATGTATATAGAGATTGGAGACACAGCTTACTGTGACGTGTTGTATGTATATAGAGAGATGACACAGCTGCTGCCACATTGCCCTTTGCGTAACGCCACAAGGCGCCATCACAGAGATGCTGCTGAGGAATCCCAAGGATGGTCTGGCTGCTCTACCCGATCCCAACAACGCTGGGGGGAGACTCCCACGCATTGACGAAAGCACACCAGAAGGGCATCCTTCACCCAGGATCTTCGGCGCACGTTGAGTCCACCACAAAAACCCTGTATATAGAAGGTCACTCAAAAAGGCATCACTAGAAGCGTTCCTTTATAGACATGGTGTCTGCTGCTATGGGGGTAGAGTGGGTCTTCACTGTGTATCTTCAAGGGAAATGCCAAAAATTGTATTTTATACACAGGTGTGAGCCATCTGAGAGGGGGTTTTCAATGTATCAAGAATTATCAGCCTAATATCACTAGTTATGTTTCTAGACCCACCATGTTATTGTGAGGAGGGCATCCATGGCTGTCTGCCATCGGGGCTGTAGAGAAGTTTGCAACCCAGGGTTATGCGTGCTGTACATAGCACTGACGCGCAGCCCTCACGTGGCCTGTTACATAGACTTGACGCACAGCCCTCCACGTGGCTGTAACATAGACTGATGCGCCAGCCCTCACGTGGGCCCTGTACATAGACTGAACGCCACACGCCCGTCACGTGGGCTGTACATAGAACTGTGCCGCAGCCCTCACGTGGCCATGCTACATAGACTGACGGCGCAGCCCTCACGTGGCATGTACATAGCTTGACGCAACAAGCCCTCACGTGGCTGTACATAGACTGACACCAGGCTGACGTTGCTGCTGCCGCCCCGCAGGTCGCCTGAACACACCGGAGGACAATGAGAACATGCTGGGCTATGACTTGTATAGTAGTGCCCTCGCGGACATGCTAGCAGACCCTTCGCTCTGTATGCCCATCACCGTCGGCCTGTTTGCCAAGTGGGGCAGCGGAAAGTCGTTCCTGCTCAGCAAGCTACAAGGTAGGTGGCGACACTAGCACCGCGACCATTTGTCAAAAGCATTGTGAATGGTCGTGATGTGGTAAGCCTAAAACGTCGTGATTTTTAGCTCAGCTGACGAAGTCAGATGCAGCTTGTAGAATCGCATGAAGTCCGTCCGTCCGTCCGTCCGTGTGTCAACAGTTACGGCACAACTTTTAACCGCTTGACATATGGTCTTGATATTCGGGACGTCGGGGGGGGGGGTCGCGAAAAGGACTCGGGATGTCGAATTTGGGGGGTCAAGGGTCAAAGGTCAAGATGTGTCAATATTTCCCTCTTAACTTAAGGTATAGGAGGAAATACAGAATTGCGGCACAAATCTCAACGGCTCGACCTACGCTCTTAATATTCGATGTATAGTGTGTGGGGGGGATGGGATGGATGTGATGGGTAGGAAACCCATTACCAGTGCAAAATTGAAGGTCACAGGTCAAAGGGCAGTGGGGGAAAGGTCAGATATCAGACATTTTCTGAGGACATAGTCTGACGGACCGAGTGCAAAACTATTTTGTTTCAGCGCTGACCTACCATTTTTATCACTTTATTGAAAGGACCATGAAATGTACTTTCCGCTGACGTGCGAAGAGTAAGTGTCTGATAACCTTTTGACCTTCGAGAGGAGGGTTAAACATGGATTTTTTGACTGTTAACAAAGGACTGAACTGCTTTTTCTACTAGAGCACCCTCCACCCGCCCCTACCCCCACCCTCCCCCCACCATCACCACTAAGCTCGCGGCTCGATGCATATCCATGATAACATGTTAATATAGCGAAGTCATTAAAGTTACACAGCTGTACTACCGGTATAGCAAAGCCTATCATAGCTTTTCGATCTGTATTAGTAGTATCCCAGATATATATGCTCTGAGCGCGAACGCGGTGGCGGGAGGGCGCACTTGATTCGGTTGCCAGTGAGTTTATCAGAAGAATACCCGGCTACAGTACACGTCAGTTGAGCGCTGTCGCTCTGCGGCACTTGTTAGAATAAAGCGTCATGGACGTAAGACGTTGTGATATTTTAGAATTGCGATGTCTGAATTATGATGATTCTGGGTTCTGACCTGTGGAGTAAGAGCGTCTGGCACAGATAGTAGATTTCTCACATCATTAGATTCCCCCGAGTGTAGGAGAGGTGAATGGTAAGCTTTGCTTGGCTGATCACTCACGCTGTGTGTCGTTGGCAGACGAGATGAAGGCCTTCACGAGTCAGGTTACCGAGCCGACGTTCGAATTCACGTGGATGCTCTTCTGGTTGGTGCTGCTGCTCGTGCTGCCACCTAGCATCATGTTGTCGGTGCACGCCGAGTCGTGGAAGGTTGGCGCCGTCATCTGTGCATCTGTGTTCATCGTCGTCTACACGCTGCTGGGTGAGTCGCCGCGTCGCCATCGCTGCGAGTGCGCCCTCTATATGCTATTTGTCTTTACAAAAAATTTGTTGTTTGTTTATTTATTGTTATATGAATTATTATTACTATTATTATTAGTAGTAGTTTATTACATACCATTGTTCTGTTACGTACAGGGAGTTAGTTGTTGGTTAGTAGGCATGAAGAGATGCATTGTCGTTGTTGCAGCGGCGGTGTGGTACTGCACCATCAAGCAGGCTAGCAGCTGGGTGTACTCTGCCAGCATCTTCCTTGCCAAGCAGCTGAACTCCCTGGAACTCATCCTACAGGTTGCCTTCTGCAACCGACCGGACAAGGAGTCACAGCAGAGCCACTGCCCTGTCCGGTAAGATACTCCACCCACATATTATTTTATTATTTGTGTTTATTACATTTTATAATTTCATTGTTCATATATTCACTATTCATATATCACATTTTATTATAATCAAAACTTGATAAAAATAATGACAGCAGGTTGTCCGATTGCCCGGGACAAGTGAAAGTCTATGTCGGACAAGTTATTCTCTTGCCTAGTTGCCCGATCGGACAACTGAAAAGTTCTAGTTGTTAGATCCATAGATCCATCATAGTATCGGTGAGGTAATATTGACAGATGTCACCCATGTTGCTGTGGCGTGGTAGGTGCACATGGGTGATAAATACATACATGATTTATATACGTATATGACAGATGCGTGTAATATTGTTTGCTGCAGCGTATTATTTCTGTAGTAAACGTTTAACTAAGATAAGTTCATATAGGATATGTCAATGCTAGCTAACATTTACATTGCCGATTTCCTTAAATACAAAAAGAAATCGTTTAGTGACCCTGATATCAATTATATATCACACACCAGCAAACGTCTACAGCAGTCATGATCTGCTCATGAGCCCCAGTGCTTGCATGCACACAAAAATACGCACACGCACACCATATACGTACCAATCAATAATTCAATAATATCTAATACAATTTCCACCAAAACAACCACCAAACACCAAAATAACAAAGAAAAGTGAAAACAAACGCAGTACGAAGCTGGGGTGTGTAAAGCAGTGATTGTCTGCATCGTCATCATCGTTGTCATGGTTACAGAATGGAGACACGGTGCTCATCGTGGCAGCTAAGACAGCTCACTATGACATCATCAAGCTGCTGCTGGATCGCTATGCCGACGTGAACTTGTGCGGTAACGAGCGTAAGACTGCGCTGTTCCACGCCGTCGACAGAAGCCATGTCGACATCGTAGCGGCCGTGCTGAAAGCCAACCCTGACCTAGAGATCGCCACCGAGGTGATGTGTGTGTGACGATGACGTGTGTGTGACGATGACGCGTGTGTGACGATGACGCGTGTGTGACGATGACGCGTGTGTGACGATGACGTGTGTGTGACGATGACGTGTGTGTGACGATGACGTGTGTGTGACGATGACGTGTGTGTGACGATGACGTGTGTGTGACGATGACGTGTGTGTGACGAT